GCTTCCTCTCCTTCAACAACGTAAACACCCAATCACCCACAATCGGCAACATCTTAAACAAATGCCCCGAATCCCCCGAACAGAGAACAACCGACCCCTCCGTCTCCGGCACAAAATCGATAATAAACTCCGAATCACTCGTATCCGCAAACCAACACAACTTCTTCTCCACAAACGGCCGATCCGCAAACTGCGGCAACGACTCCCTCAACAACCTCCTCATCCTCTTCTCATCCTCCGCCGGCAACACCCCCTCACTCTCCTGCAGCGTCTTCGGCGGGGTCGATACCCCCGACGCGGGATCCGTGTTGATATACCCGCCGCCCATAGGGCAGATCTTGAGTAGATTGGTCTTCGGATCCGGCTCGAAGTAGAATCCCAGATCGCGGGCATAGGTTACCGGAATGCCGCGGAGCATGGACGTCTCTTCATCGGTCAGTTTGACATGTCCCAGTGACCACGACTTCGCGACGACTTGGCCCCCTGCTTCAGGGACGAGGGTAGATGCCGCGGCGCCGATTGCGACGACGGCGAGCTTGCAAGGGTAGGTTTGGCCATTGGCTGTGCGGACGCCGGTTACTTGTTTCTTGTTTGTGGGGGACGAGTAGATCAGCGAGGTCACGCGGCCGATGTCTTCGCCGAGGAAGAATTTCACGCCACGAGCTGCGGCGGCTTCGTAGACGGCGCGGAGAGCGTTGGCCGAGTGCGCGTATCCGGCTAGTTGATTGAAGTAGCCGTTCCAGCCTGGGAGGGGGCCGGTGAGTTGCCAGGCGATGTTGCGGATATCGGCTGGGGTGGAGATGGTGGTTAGTTTGCCTTTGTAGGTGGGGTGGTTGCGGATTGAGGCCAGGAAGCGGTTCATTGTCTGCGAGGCTTTTTCGGGGGCGGCGCCGGAGACGAGGTGCAGGAAGCCCGTTTGGTGGTAGTGCGGGGCGTAGAGGGGGGTTTTCCAGCCTTCGATGGCTTGCTGTTGAGAAAGGAGTGTTAGGCACGTGGGTGGAGGGGTAGAGAGTAGGATTGGACAGGGAAAGGGGGAGGACGTACGAGTGTCAGTTCAGTGTACCATGGGTCTTCGTATTCTGCGCGCACGATCTTGTTGATGTCGTGGCCGGCGGAATAGCGGGCTGGGACTTGGTTGTCTCTTTCGAAGACGGAGACGTTGGTGAAGCCGTTGCTGGAGAGGTGGAGGGCTGTGGTGAGGCCGAAGACACCAGCGCCGATGATGGCGATGGGGTCGGACTTGGATGTTGATACCATTGTGGGATGGTATACGGGGGTGCAATTGGGGTGTGAGAGGGGGCAGAGAGAGAGGGTCAGCTCAAGTGATGATCACTGAGAGGGAGCATGAGAGGTTGATTCGTCCTGATGAGCTGCAATGGGGTTATATACTAGTAGTATCATGGCATAGGAATCACTTGGCAATTCAAATGAATCATACCATGTACAGGTAGCATGCTGTGAGCATGAACAGGTCGGCAGTTACTCCTCCCCCGTCTGCCCCCGCTGTACCTCCACCAGAATTGGAGTGCACATACCAGAAACGCGCAGCTATAGTGTAACGTGCAGCTTATCGGAGTGGCTCGAGCGTCTGGTGCATCTGGAATTGTGGGTTAGCGCAAGCGATACATACCGGATACACTATCTTACTGTTCATGTGGGGATTGTCATCTTGGAGAAGAAACGGGGGCGTTGAAGGCGTTAGCGTGAACGATGATCGCCGGTTAGTGTATGCGAGGGTCTGGAGATAGGCGGTGACGCTAGTACATAGCTGTATCGGCTGGATAATGGGGACCTAGTCTCAAGAGATAATCAGTCGGTGGGTCTTGCATGAGGGGATACATGGCGATAGCCGATAGGAGGTGCGGGGGCTTCGTTGCAGCTGGAAAAGTCAATGTTAGTTTTTGTCTTGAGAAGGACAAGGAAGGATTTACACATCGTGACATTAAGACATGTTTTAGGTAACGGTGAGAGTAGTAGTAACAGATCGCCTTCGCGCAAGAGAATGCAGTGGCTCGAGATTTGCTGAAATGATGATCATGGACGAGCTCGATATGCGTGTGTCATTGAAGTTGAGGTGAAAGTGAAATTGTAGAGTGAAAAAGCTGTCTCGAAGTAGACGGTCACCTGATTCAACAGGGTAGTCTCTATACTAATGTCTACAATTGGAACTGGGTAGTACTAAGATACTATCTACTCATGGAGAGAACAGTATAAGGTGAATCGTTATCATTGCGAATTCTATTTTTACACACTCCGACCTCCAATTTCATGTCTCATGGCGCCTATATAATATTCAAACCATTACTCGTTGCTGGGGTACCGGAAGCCGTTCAAGGGGAAGAATTCCTCCTTGATCGTTCTAGGGCTGGCGAATCTCATGAGGACATTGGGACTGCCAGCCTTGTCGTTGGTTCCACTAGAGCGACTGCCACCGAATGACTGTTGTCCGATCAGGGCAGCAGTAGTCTTGCAGTCTGTTGCGTAATTCGTTAGTAGTGAAATCTAGAGAGTAATAGCATGATCACTTACTGATGTAGAAGTTGCCAGCAGAGTACCGCAAGGTATCCTCAGCCTCGCGAATGGCACGCCGATCGCCTGCGAATACAGCTCCAGTCAGAGCGAATCCACCGCCACTCTGGTCGACTGTCTTCAGAACCGAAGACCACTCGGCATCAGGGTAGACATAGACGGCGAGCACTGGACCGAAGATTTCCTTGTCGAACAGCTCATGGTTGGGATCCTTGGCCCGGTACACAGTAGGGTGCACGTAGTATCCCTTCGAGCCGTCGTAGGTACCACCGGCAATCAACTCCAAGGATGGATCCTTGTTGCTGGCATCGATGACCGACTTGATCTTCTCGAAAGATGCTTTGTGGATGACAGGGCCCATGAAAGCTCCCATGTCCTCGGGAGAACCAATCGTGATCTCGTTGATCTCGGACTTCAACTTCTCCAAGAACTCCTGTGCCCGAGACTCAGGCAGGTACAGTCGGGACGTGGCCGAGCACTTTTGTCCCTGGTACTCGAAAGCACCACGAAGAGTGTGGTAGACAGCACTCTGGATATCGGCAGTGGGATGGACCAGATGGAAGTTCTTGCCACTGGTCTCGCCAACCAGACGAGGGTAGTCCCGGTAGACCTTCTTGCCAATGTTTTCGCCGACCTGAGCGTACAGAGAACGGAAGACGTCCGATGAACCGGTAAAGTTGAGACCACCAAATTCCCTGCGTCCGAGCACTGTCTGTGTAATCTCTTGCGCATCACCTGTAACGAACTGGATAACATTGGGAGGCAGGCCAGCTTCCAGGAGGATCTTGTAGACGAGCTCACTCGCGTACACGTTCGAATCGGAGGGCTTCCAAACGACGACATTGCCCATAAGAGCCGGACCGCTAATTAGGTTTCCGCCAATAGCAGTAAAGTTGAAAGGCGACACGGCGTAAACGAATCCTTCCAAGGGTCTGTAGTCCACACGGCTAGAGAACAGTTAATATCTGAGCGTCCAAAGTTCAAAGCTTTGCACTTACGTCCACATTCCCTCAGTACCGCGGTCGGGCTGCTTCTCCAGCAGCTCAGCAGCATAATTGCAGTTTAGACGGAAGAAGTCGGCCAACTCTGCAGCTGCATCAATCTCACCCTGCCAGATGTTCTTGCCTTGTCCCAGCATCGTAGCAGCGATGAGTTCGTATCGGTATTTGCCGGCGACAAGCTCGGCAGCCTTGAGGAAAATGGCAGCCCGATCGACAAAGGGAGTGTTTTGCCACGCTTCCTTTGCCTCCAATGCTGCATCAATTGCCGCATTTACTTGTGCAGCATTCACGCTCGGGTAGTTGGTAAAGGTAGTGGCATGTTCGGCGGGCAGAGGCTGTTGCAATGTGTTGGAGATCGAGAGCGCTTTGCCTCCGACGTATGCCTGACTCTTGAGCGGCAGTTGTGATTTCATTTGCTTTAGCACTTTTTCGACCTCTGCCCTTTCGGGAGAACCCCTGGTGTAGTCCAGCTATCAAGGAGAGAATTAGTATATGCGTGCAATGGGAGTGGGTAGGAAGCCAGCAACTCACGTTGGGCTCATTTCTAGCAGCTGGCAGACGAAAAGGAACGGTCGCAACACCACGAGCTCGAAGAACTGGAGCTCTAGCGGCACGGCGTCCTAGGGAGCGCACGCTGGGTGAGGGTTGAGACAAAGGTAGTTTGAAGGCCATTGTGATAGTGTCCGGTAGCAGAGGCCGTAGAGGAAAAACTGAGCATAGACATGGAAGAGACGAACATGGTGAACATCATTCTTATGTATGAAGCTGGCCATGGTGCTTGAGGAGTCAACTGCTTGGCAGACCGATGTTCGGCGCTGTTGCAGCTGGAAGTGAGGAGAGTGAGGAGTAAGATCCACCGATTTGGAGTCCATCCAGCTGGCGGGTAAACTAGCCCTGCACTTGTACCTTCCCGGCTAAGTATAGTGGCGGGTACACTAGCCTTCCGCTGGAGATCCCCCTAATGCGGCATGAAACCGTTCCTTTAGTCTACCTCTTGTTAACGCCATCTTACTTCAATTCCGCATGTCAGCCACATCTTGGTTTGCCTATCGCGTTTAGATAAGCTAGGGTGTTGGCTATCTTATCCACGCAACTTTACCGATAGGCTTTCTCACCGGTTAGAGCGAAAAGATTCACGCTCATGTGAGGGGTGCCCGACTGGCCCTCCTTTCGTACACAGCATGTCTGGTGAAGAGCATTATCGGGCTCTAGGCCTGTCGGGTCAACGTGTTGCTTGTCATAGCTCTAGGTTACAAGTCTGGTGAATTCTGTCCGTAACAGCCCTAGACCCCTAGGCTCTCCCCGATGTATCTCCACGAGGTATGGAAGCTCTTGAAGAATTCAACACAAAACTGGGCATCCCCTCGAATGAAGCAAATTGGAGACCGATACCCCTGCTGTTGAGCTGACTGTATCTATATAATTGAAGGCCCCTCTTCCAGGGTGTATTTGAGTACCTGGAACTCCGGAATGTCGCCTGAACGTGTCACCACGGAGCCATTGCACTCTCCTGGCTGGGATAATGACTGGCTCAGGCAGTTAGCCGGCGATATAGTCGCAGGATCACTGTCTGCAACGATTATCGCCCCGATCACAACAGTTATCGATCGGTACGTATCTTGAAGACGAACCGAAGAATCTATCTGCTGATATGTCAAGTTCAGGAGCGTCGTGGAGAGGCTCTCCTCAAATAAATCCATCCTGCATACACTTCGCACACATGCCATTTGCTCCATCCTCCAACCGAGAAAGTTTTACTTTTCCCGGCCTTTCTTCATCGCTTGGTCTCTTTACGCCGCAACCTACGCTACCGCAAATGCCACCGATACAAGCCTCGACCAGCTTTCCGAAATAAGGGAGAAATCAACAAGCGCGAGTCTCGTCGCAACGTTCAGCTTCCTCCCAACATACGTCGTCAATGTGTCTCTGGGGATCCTAAAGGATATCCGGTTCTCTCAGATTTACGGACACCCAGACGGTCGTCTCAAGCAGCCACCTCCCATCCCAAGACTCGCGTACATGGCCTTTCTTTTCCGCGACAGCATCACTATATCCAGCTCTTTCACGCTGGCTCCGCAGGTGGCTTCGTTAGTCCCAGATTGGATCACTGCAGACCCGCATACCAAGAGAACTGTGACCCAGCTCGCTCTCCCCGCCTTGGTGCAATACGTGAATACGCCGTTCCATATGATCGCGTTAGATGTTATTGCTCGTCCCCAAGTGGCCACGATAGCAGAAAGATCCGTTACGATACGGAGAGGCTATATGCAATCATCGTCGCTGAGGGCAGCAAGGGTTCTACCGGCGTTCGGAGTGGGGTGTATAATCAATACGGATTTGAGGGCATCTTTGCACAGAAGATGGATGGTTAGATAGGGCAAATACCAGTGCGGGGCACAGCAAACGAGAATAACTTATCTCTCCACTTGATTGTCATGTCTATCATTTTTGCGGGCACGTATCAGGACTGCGGCAGTAGCCGGACGGTTCCTAAGTATTTGGGCCCGTTACGAGGATCAGCAAAGCGAGTAGCCGAGTTGCAAATGAAGATGCCAGATACGGCTGCACTAACCCCTGGCTCCCGGGAGGGGTAACTCGTAGCGCCCAGGTATGGATGTTATTGCTTTTGTGTATGGTAAGGACGGGTATCGGCTGTTGGCTCGATGCAGCAACCCGCTACTTATCTCTCCAGCGCATACACTAACCTCACCTGCAAGGTTTCACTAAATCTGTGAATAGCTTAATCTCCATCCCTTGGCCACGCTTCTGTGCACTCCTGCTCCACATCTGCAGTTGAGCGAGCCGCTCACAACAGGCGAAAGAAGAGATAAGTGCCCAGGCGCTATCGAAGCGAATACTGATTAGCCAACGATTACTCGACCCGAACTATCATATCTCATTGACATGTTTTCCCCAGACGCTAATCAACTATGCTTATCCCCGCATCGCTGAGCCTTTCCCGTTCTGCCACTTTATCCAATCAGGCTATGGATCGGCCATATCTATCCACGAGCTTCCGCTGTGGAAAAGAACAGCCACCGGAATTCACTATCAGCACCCAGCAGGTAGCCTTTGAGGGTCAGAAGGCCCAAATACACGTATAGGCAATACGTCATGCTAGCGGAGATAAACCGATGCCTCGCAAATGGTCCTTGTGCATTGGCTGACTGCAACTGTCAGGTCGACATGATCATGGATGCCTCAGGCAGATGGCATATTGGCCTCTCACTGGGTCAATACCGTGGCCAGGTGCAAGCCAACTTGGCTCAAATAGGCCAGATGTTCTCGAGTCTCACCTGCAAATCTCACCACTTCTTGTGCTGAGCCTACTGTCCTCACTTCCTCTTTATACTTTCATATAGGATACCCATCTATTAGTCCTACCACTTGGTCATCTTGGGAAGAATGAGTGCTTCGATAGGACCCAGAGACCTGGCAGAGATTCATGACACTCCTGCGTATGACTACGGACAGGATGTGGAGAAGAAGCAGCTGGATGATACATCCCCTGAAGAGGAAGATCCATTTGGTAATGAAGAGTTCGCAGAGGTGAAATACCGGACGATGGGTTGGTGGTAAGTTATATATCCCCTGCCCCTAGACTACGTCTTGGTCCTGTATCTGATCCTTCTTCGCAATATGCAGGAAAACAGGGATACGTGAGCCTCAACCCTATTACAGTCACCCAAAATACATAGACCCCTAACCCCTATTGTCTACAGTCATGGTCGCAGAGAATGTTTCTATTGGAATTCTATCCCTTCCATCCGCCTTTGCAACACTGGGCTTTGTCCCGTAAGTAACCTGCTACACTGGTAGACGAAAGCTAAGCCTAGTTCTAGGGCTCTTGTCATATTGATTGGAATATCTGCTATATCATGGTATACGGCCTACATCCTTTGTCAGTTCAAATTACGATACCCCCAGGTCCATAGCATGGGAGATGCTGGTGAAATCATAATGGGGCGATTCGGACGGGAACTGCTTGGTATCGGCCAGCTACTATTCCTTATATTCGTTATGGCCAGTCACGTCTTGACCTTCACGGTTCTCATGAATACGATTACCGAGCATGGTACCTGCACAATCGTGTTTGGTGTTATCGCACTGGTTGTCAGTTGCGTTGGTGCCTTACCACGTACCATGGACAAGGTATATTGGATGTCGATTGCATGTAAGCACCTTCCCATCTTTCACACTTCACTTTAATTATGATGCTAATTCAATTTCTGTATAGCATTTCTCAGCATTGTAGCGGCAACTATGGCCACTATGATAGCGGTCGGCGTAGAGTACAAAGGCCACATCCCTCTTGCTGCGACTACCCATCTCAGTTTCAACGAAGAATTTCTGGCAGTCAGCAATTTGTTCTTTGCTTATGGTATAGCCCCAGCTAATCATGATTCGTGAGCAATACATCTAACTTCACGACCATCAACAGTCGGCCATGCGTCGTTCTTCGGATTCATCTCAGAGATGGACAAACCTCGAGAGTTCACCAAGTCCATATCGGTACTCCAAGTCATTGATACCTCGCTATACATAGCTAGCGCAGTGGTTATATACCGCTACGTAGGCGCGGACGTTCAATCCCCTGCATTAGGCTCTGCGGGGCCCTTAGGGAAGAAAATCGCCTACGGGCTGGCTATTCCGACTGTATGTTAACTACCGTATCTTTTGTAACGACTACTGATTCATGTCCTCAGGTCCTCATTGCTGGAATTGTCAATGGTCATGTAGCCAGCAAATACGTGTACGTGCGTGTTTTCCGCGGCACAAACCACATGCATGAACGGACATTGCTCTCCATCGGTTCATGGGTCGCTATTGGATTGATTTCCTGGGTAGTTGCCTGGGTCATCGCAGAGTCAATCCCAGTCTTCAACAACCTTTTGAGTCTAATTGTACGTGGCCATCTCCTGCTACAGAACATGTATGCTAACATCGACGATAGACTGCACTTTTTGGCTGTTGGTTCGCTTGTGAGTTTCAAATATTCTAAGATGCTACGGAATATACTAACGACAGCTTATAGATGGGTTCCCTGCTATCTTCTGGTTCACCTTGAACAAGGGCCAGTGGTTCGCATCAACCAAGAAAATATTTCTTACCGTGTCCAACACGTTCATTTTGGCCATGGCAATTACCCTTGTATGTATCTTCTATTCTTAAAAGGATCCTGTCGCTAATGTCTTTTACAGTGCGGTCTCGGGTTATATGTATCGGGCGATGCGATCAGCAAGGATAGTGGCAGTGGTGTCTGGACGTGTGCCAACAATGCTGTTTGAATGACCTATCCTCAACCAAAGCTGATCATCTTTCATGTTACTCTCAGTCGTTCAGCAATATACTCTTCTTGCTGTGATGATGGTTTTAATGATCAGTTAGGACTTCTCGATTGTATCATGATGTTTCGAGCACGTGTTTTGTATCAAGCAATAAACGTATGTTCTTTTAGCGAATGATAACGAATCAGTTCAATATTTCACAATAATTTGAAGAAATGTAATAAAAGCAAGGAAAATGCATAAGCATCTCCCTCATGCTTGATCATTCTCCCAGGTGTAGAGCTTTAAGATATATCTCTAGTTAGTATACCCATTTACTTAGACTATTCAGCGTATATACTGACAGTTACACTACCTATTTCATTGACCAGGACCTTTCTAGTCCATCTCCTCAATGCCAAAGTACTAATCGCACAATCAAGAATCTAATCAGAAGTAAGCTGGTTACTTTTTATACGTAAGATTAAGTTACTAGTAGCCTTTATCATATGTAAGTCTTAGACAGTAGAATAAAATGTCATGAGTATCGCTCGTATTTCCCTATAAGCCCCTTTGATTCAACCGAGTACCCCGTTCAACTGAACAAACTTCCCAGCCTCTTATTCTGGGCAGAGGAAGGGTTTCTGGAATGGTGGTGACACAATCGGTCCTATAGCCATCGGTTCCATCTCTCCATCTTGTCTGGATACAAGTAATTATGGAATTACATATCTCACCAGCCCAACTCCCTATCAATCAATTGCATAATAGCCATCTCAGCGGGCCACACTTCCACAAACTCCTGAACTCGCCATGACCAGTCTTCATCCCACTCGAAAATGAAAGGGTGCGATGCACAAAAAAACTCCCAAAAGTCAGGAAACCAGCCAGCATTCTCCCAATCAACCAGCACAACGTCAAGCGATCGCTCACCCTCGTTTGAGCAACTTTGATCCATCACAACCATGATATTCTTCTGCTGAACGTCTCCATGTGTCAATGTAGGCCGGTGACCTTGAAGAACGCGAGCCAGGTATTTCTCGTAAAAGCGAGCCTTGTAGTCTGGATGATTGTTACGCTCGACTAAGGCCCTATAATTACCCACAAGGCCAGCAACGAAGGCTGGTTCACCAGTGAAAGGCCCTAGAAACTTCTGGTCGCCGTGCTGGCTGTAGAATAGGTAGTGATGTACGCCGCCGCCGTCCAGGCCACCGAAAAAGTTGGGCCATGGACACTCAGCCTTTCGCATGGCGGAGAATATTAGTTGAAGTTTTGCTATGATGCCATCCTTCTCGGAGGGGGTTAATGTTGGCCAGATAGTATCTAGTTGCACACCGGGGATGCGTTGCATGACTAGGAAAAGTTGCTTGCCCTCATAGTACATCGCGTACAGTCGAGGGGCTGGAACTTCGGGGACATGTTGTTCAAGGTAAATCAATGCCTGGCCTTCCCAGGTGTTTATACAACCTCCATACTTTACGACAATATTGTCGTTAATTGTCACGACCTTAGAGGCCATGGTCTCCCAGAGGACATTGGTGCAGGCGCGGATCTCATCTGTTGTAGGTAGTGGAGGCTGAGGTTGGGATTTCTGGAAGGGAAGATCCACTGGTTTCCACATTGTAAAGAAAGCAGAGATTAGCGGAAGTATTCTTGAAGTATGGATCGTCGCCTGGATGGAGAGGGATCGAATGAGCGGTTGAACGCAGAATAGCTAGAAGTTCACACGTCAATCTATAATGTTAATTCCTAGACCTATTGTGGAATCCTCTTAGATGCTGATAGATCTCAGGAAAAAGGATAGAGTTGTACCTACAGATAGACATTTGTTTGTGATACTGGAACTTCGCAGTTCTGTGGGATCGGGCTGTGCTGAGGCTACATTAGTCTCCTGCAGGGTGACGTGTACAGCGGCTGTAGATGCCCGAGAAACCGCGTGGAAGAGGGGATTCTTTTCAGCTCACAACATTGAACTCTTGATTCTCACCTCCCTACTCAACTCTTCGAAAGTTGTTCACGGACATGGTTAAATTTCTCTTCACCAAAGAATGCTGACGAAGCTACGTGCGAAGCTCTGCTGTTCCCAGGCTGATGGTGACGCTGACGAGGCCGAACCTGCCATTCCCCATGCGAAACACTCGAATGATGGAGGAAACACCACACCTGCCAAAAGAAGCAATTCTGAGGCTGCAAGCACTCCGCCAGATCACGCCGCTGCCTCACCTAAGGATCTCTGGCAAGTAGCATTTGACAACCTAGACCCGAAACAAAAACACTGGTTGTCTAAAGAGGAGAAGACGCCGACCGAAATCATTCGGGATGTCATTGGCGAGACAAAAAGTAAATATACCGAGTATAAGAAGAAAGAGTTGACCATCCGAAGACATAATGGGGGTGAGATCAAAGTCCGCGAAATCGCTCAAAATATCCTGGCGTCCGCATTGAATGCGCAGCAGATAATCACTGCGGTTGCGAGCTTCGACCCAAGTGGACACGGTAGGGTTCTACACGCCACATACTTATATACGCAGAATTTCTTAGATGCTGATATTCAACCACAGCGTCAAGCGCATGGACGATAGTATCGCTAGGTTTGACGGTAGGCGACTCCTTGAAAACTGTTCCGTCGAAAACCGGTTACAGACTCATTAACTCGCTTTTTAGATGGTCCAGAGAGATATTGCGCGCAGAGATGTAATCATAGAAGCCTCCGAATACTTGGCGGAACAGCTAGCATACTTCACTGTCCTAGATAGCGACCGCCGATACACAAAGGCTTCCGTGGACAAGCAGCTAGATGGTGCTCTTGTGGGAGTCTATACAGCAATACTTGAATACACGGCGGAAGTGAGAAAAAAATATCACGAAAGCGGCTTTGGTTAGTTCGAGTATTCGGTCAGGTTCGCGAGTTGCTATAGCGCATATGTTTAACTTGGATTATTGCAGCTCGCATAGGAAGCACACTCATTCCCCTTACCGAACAGCCACTGCAAAAGCTTCGCACAGCTGTGGAAAATAAAATTATAGTGGTTGACAAATGGGCTACCATCACCGATCGCACATGTGAGTTTATCATCTTCAATCCTATCCATATCTTCAAAGTGCTCAATCTTGTTAGATCTGAGGGGACAGGCTGCGGACATCCTTACGGCTATTGACAAGACGGTCGAGGAGCTCCAGAAACTTCATTCCACTGTACTAAGTGAGCTCTCTCAAAAATGCTCAACTCAGAAGCACAGTTTTTGACTTTGGCAGGTGTCGAGGATAAAGGAATACTTGAATGGCTATCTCAGTACGACTTTTCCAAAGCACAGAACGACACTCAGTATCACAGATCACCAGGGACAGGTGATTGGCTTTTGAATTCAAAAGAATATGTGAGGTGGAAGAACTGCCCAGGTAGTATATTATTGTTACATGGAGTGGGTAAGTTCTCTAGACCTGTTTAGATGGAAAATAAACTGACTCATAAACAAGCGGGTTGTGGTAAATCAGTCATGTGGTAGTATGACAGACCTGCTAAAAACGTGTACTTTCGTACCTTCGGCTGACATTTATTAAATATAGCTCGACAATCATCGAAGACATCCAACGAATTTGTATAGCCGGTTCGAACACGCGGTTCGCTTACTGGTATTTCCAATTCAATGATCCGTCATCACAAAGAGTTGAGAATATGCTCAGGACGATCATCCGTCAGCTTCATTCGACTCCACTCGACGAGCCTATCCGGAATCTTTGGAGCGACTATGGTACCAAAGGAAGCAATCCAAGCAGTACAAGGCTTCAGGAGACTCTTGAAATACTGCTTGCTGCCAACAAAGGGAAAGTTTTCCTAATTTTAGATGCGCTGGACGAGTGCCCCGAGGCAGTCAATCGCAAGGAAAGGAGTCTTCTGTTGCCACTGCTTACTGGACTTCAGAAGAAATACAGTGATAAAATTCATATCCTTGTGACTAGTCGACCAGAGCCAGATATAGTTGATCACCTCGTGGAATGTACAGCCTTAGACATCGAGGGAAAACAGGGGTCTGATATTTCGGCCTTCGTCAAGGACAGGGTTGAGGCTCTGGACGACAGGAGAGCTCCAAAGGAAGTGAAAGCACAGATAATTCAGGAACTGCTACAAGATGAGAAAAGGTATGCTGCATCTCTCCAGCTAATGCTATTGTTAATATAGATACTCTTTTGCGCAGGCGATTTCGCTGGGCAGACCTTCAACTGAAGCGTCTCGAAGAATGTCGCAACAAGTCTCAAATCATAGAAGCATTGAGAACAATGCCACAGACGTTGCACGACATATATACTTCTGTAATAGAAAGAATCAACACGAAACCCTCCGATGTTATATATGCCGAAACAATCCTCACCTGGCTCTGTTTCAGTGTCAGACCTCTCACCCTGACTGAAGCAGCAGCAGCAGCAGCAGGTCTTGAGGTCCCAGAGGACGTGATCAAAATCTGCACGACTTCATTCGTCACATTTCGGCACTCGGATAACGAGATAAGATTAGCTCACTTCTCCGTGAAGGAATTCCTCGTGGGTAGCGCGAATACTGGGCAATGGCACCAATTCTCCACCTTGCATGGGCACGCCATGCTAGCTGAGCACAGCCTGAGATTACTCCTGCAAAAGACGAGGAGGCTGTCTATACAGGAAGTGAAGCAAGAAGCGCTGCTAAACTATGCTGCTCGTAACTGGCACGAGCACTTCAATGCTTCTGCTGTTACCCCAAGCCCAGCACTCGAAAACCTCCAAGAGATGGTGGATATGCTATTTCGTCAATCAACTGCCTACCGCAACTGGCGTTATATAACGACAGATTTCACGGAGGGAGATGTACAGCCAACCCCTATCGGTATCGCATCGGGCTTAGGGCTCATTCAAACTGTGATTGGTTTACTAGAAGAAGGCGCGGACCCTTTAGAGTGCTTCGCATATCAGTTCAGATGGGATTTTACCCGGGCTGTAAAAAATGCGTTACTGATGGCTTCTGAAAGTGGGCATCTGGACTTACTGGATTTACTGCTGCACAAGGTGTGCGTGTCTATTGATTTAGCCGAGGGCATAGTGAAAGGTGTTCGATGCCATGCTTCTGAAAGCGAGAAGCTGGAAGATATATTTGACACATTCTCAGCTTCAGGTGCTATTTTCACTAGAACCGAGAACAAAGGACTTCAGATAAATGAGCGCGTTGTTGTCGCTGCGGCGAGGAACATGGTTTGTGGTACGAAACTTGTGACCGTCCTCCTTGATCAGTACGAAGAAACAGGAGTTGCGCTTGTGCCTGTGACAGAGAACGTAATGGAAACGGTACTACAAAACATGGCGTGTGGAGGCGATATTTTGCAGCTTCTTCTCCAAAGGCGAAATGATGATGTCAAAATCTATTCAAGAATCAAGGAGATGCTGAAATCCTCGGACTTTATGAACGTGCGCGCAATCGCAATACTTCTTGCGCAACGGCGTGCAGAGATTGTGATAGATGAGCAGTTCATTGCTAATCTTGCGAGATACGCGGGCGGCACTGAAATGGAAATACTCTTAAGTGTATTGGACAACGATTCGATGCTGACCGAGAATGTTCTGGCGAGCGCTGTTCAAAACCGTAGCGATGTCTTGCGTCAGATTCTCCGGCATCGACGGCATTGGCCACCAGTTAGCGAGGATCTTCTGTGTGAAGCAGCGTGTAACGGAGATAGCAAAAAGCTGGAAGCCTTGCTAGATGATCGTGGTCTGGATTTTGCAATGAGCGAAAGAGTCATGCTGGAGATTGTAGGCAACCTATTTTATGGAGCTGAAATGCTCGAAATGCTCCTGCGCAGGCAGCAAGCAGGATTTATCGTTACTCCCGCAATACTGGACACGGCAGCCTCCCAAGCAAAGACTAAACATGCTGTTGAATTACTTATGAACAACGGAGGCTTGAAAATTCCAATCACTGAAGGCATGATGCTCAGAATTTTTTGTGATGACTTGCTGTGCTATCTCCTGGATCTTGAAGAAAGGTCCCAGATACATCCTCTTCCTATCACAGAAAGGTTCATATTGCATGCTGTGAAAACCTTTGAGTCTGCCACTCTGAAGGCAATTTTCCGCAGCAGACCAAAGATCCACGTGAGCGAAGATGTATTTGTCGAATCATGCCGTGGCGAAATGTCGACTTTAAAGGTTTTGATGGAACAACCGCATAGCCAATTGCCAGTGACGAGGATGGTCGAAGCTCTAGAAATAGAAGATGGTCAAAGGCCAACAGAGATACTTGAGTTTCTGTTGAATGAGAGGTCCTTTGAAGTTGACCATGGGATTATAGAAAGATTTGCACATAATACCTCCGCGTTGGAACTCCTGCTGCAGACAACACCCCGTGTACCCATCACAGAGCAAGCCGCCATCCGAGCAGCTTCCGGTTGGGGCGAGGACCATCCATTTTGCGTTCTGCTCAATGAGCGAATAGATGATGTTCCAATCTCAGAAGGAGTCATGACTGCTGTGGTAAGAGGATATCGTCGAGTTGAAATTTTGCGACGTATTTTGGCACATCATGGCCCACAGGTACCGATCACAAAGAAGGTTATAGTGGCAGCCTCGACCACATTAGAAGCTTTACAACTTCTGCTTCAAGCACTAGGGCCCGAGACACCTCCTATGATAACCGAGGAAGTTGTTGTGATTGCCACTTATGCAGATTTGTCCGCATTACCATGGTTGCTTGAGAAGTATGGCTCGGCTGTACCACTTACTGAAAGAGTCATGGTTTTTGCCGCTGCAAACGGCCTTGACGGGCTACAGTGGCTCCTCCGTGAATGGCCTGGCATTATAGACCTTAACCACATTTGGAGAGCGATCTGGAAGTTTGATCATGACTTCTGTAATTTCTCCTATGGTGGGGTAGATTTCGAATTGCCATGGGTTCAGGTGAGGGCTGGTCGGCATGTTGTTCAGTATTCTAAAGCAGTCGATCTCTCGGAGGATGTCTTTCTGGATGCCCTGGCCTCATCTGCTTTTGATGAAAAGTTAAATGGGTACAGTGGCTTGGTTCCTCTGATTTATATATGTCTCGAAGGGAGGCTACCTGTTTCCGAACCAGATCGGTTGGTAAAGGCAGTGATGGATAATTGCGATGCTGATCTTATCAAGGCTATCCGTAAGCTTGTCGAGGGGTTTGAGTTGAGAGCCGAACTCATTGAAGGGGGGTTCGGGGAATTGTTGTTATCGCGCATTAGAGAGAAACATGGCATATCGGCGCCTGAGCAGTAATGCAGTCTATGTTATGTTCATATTTCGAATGTTATTGTTGTCGTTCTGCTATAAACCTCAGTACCTGTTGGGCTGTAGTGGTTGAGCCCTCAATATACATATAGTTTTCGATAACTAAAGCACCGCAAGATGCCAAAACTACTAGGCTTAATAGGAACCCAATGGCCGCTGACACTTAAACACAGATCTACACACATTACCCAACAGAAAGCTCATACTCCCACACATCCCACTATCTATATTACTCACACACACCGATGCATGTGCTGATAGATCCGAGCAGATCTACCTTATGCCCCTAAAAAACAATAGAAATCTCTGGTTTAGCACTAGTAATCCCTTTAGACCTAGAGCATGCAGCAATATTTTGATCAACAGCCCGCATAGAATGAGTGCCCTTCATATATACACATCTACTTCGAAGCCAAAAAAGGTCTGGAAATTTTCTCCACTACTTAATTCAAATTCTTCGTCACGGTCAATGTAGAAATGATACTTCTCGAGCTTATAAATCTGTAATCTATGCCCATACCCTCCCCAAAGGACATGTCCACGGAAGCGTGTACGAGCGGGAAGATAGTACCAAGCACGAATTCCACCCTCTTCAGAGGGGATATGCCATGGACATGAGGTGCATATACCTAATTCCCATTTTCCCCCAACCAGATCGATCATCGTTTTCGCTCTCGATATGTGCTGAGGCGCATATGAGTCTCGGCATTAGACATCGCCAGGCAGATTGTTTACTTGATATCTTTCGCTTCTTAGGTCCGCAATGGCCTCTCAACATGACGAATTTAGGGTTTCACGCGTAACTATCTTTTTCCTGGGAACGAAATCTTTGGTAAGTTGGTATTGTACGGTTGTGCATTCGATCTCATTAAATCATGACTAACGAGGGGGCGGAATCGTACTAAACCCCGGACTGCGGAGTAGTTGCTGACTAGCTACTTACAACTGTACTCCGAATCCGAGACTAGAGCCTCTCCATGCTTCGTAAGGGAGATAGTATGACACAAGTGGTGTATTTTCGGTTAATTAACAGGTATTTATACCCCCAAGGCCTAAAGGCTCTCGTCTACCATTTCATCTTCCCTCTATACACAATTCTACATCTCCCAAAATGGTCTACACTTGCACCCTAGCTGTCACTACAAAGTGTAGTACGGGTAAGTTCCCCCAACTTGTGTTCTCTACACCGACCTGTCTCTAATAATGCACTGCTATATCAGACCATTTTAGATGTGATTGGAGTAAGGCCGACCCTGTCAAGGGCTTTGATGGCCAGAGACACGAGTCTCTCAACGTCGTGCTTTATCCTAGAAACAATTTGATTACCCGGGCCGAAGGCATCAATGGTGTTGTGTCAGCGGTGTGCTATGACGATGAACAGAATGGTGACAAGGAGCTCAACACTCCACGGAACCTGGCACCAGAAATCACCAGCTTTATTGTCGAGTCTACCAAGAAATGCATCAAAGGGGATGAAGATAAGTGCCCGGTAATCATGAAGTTTATCTTATCTCGGGAAGACGGCTATCTCGCGCGGTCTGATTTCTTACAGCAACGCCTAGATGGGGTGAAGCAGGTTTCCTGGGTATTAGGGTTCTTGCGTCCATTACAACAAGTCACAACTCCACGAGCACAGATAGCTGGAACGGCACATGTTCTCAGCACACTCCTGTCCATGTCCGTCGGTGCCATCTTACTTGACACTGGCTCTGGCTCTGGTCTTCACGACACGCTAGATAGTGTCGAAGAGGCATTATGCAACCGGATTTCATACCCATGGGTAGTCCCCACACAAATTCCTCGGAAACGCCTTGCGTGGGTGGAAGGCCGCAAAGACGCGGATGCGAGCCGACGCATGTACGAGGCGGCAGCAGCCTTGGGGATCACTCTAGTCATCATTGACAAGCCGGGCCACTGGTCGGAGGATGACTACGGGCCGTACGCCCATCTCCGAGAGGGATTCATTGCCACAAACATCGACGTGGATGAGGGGTTCGTGGATAGAATTGTCACGGCCATCCGCAGCTACGATAAGCCCATCGATGGCCTGATGACAGTGAGCGATAGTCGCTTAATCGGAGTGGCTCGAGCGTGTGAAGTTCTTGGGTATCCTACCTCCCCATCGTCGGCCTATGTGCTGGCCGGAGATAAGTATCAAACTCGCATGATGGAGCCAGACACGCACGGGGCTTTCCGGGTCTTTGGGACGGATGAACTGGAGAAAGTACTTCGGTCCACCGAGGTGACGTATCCTCTCATCGTCAAGCCTTGCCTGGGATGGGGAAGTCAGGCTGTCACGAAAGTGTCCACGGAAGTTGAATTGTTTGAGGCGGTCGAGAAAGCCTGCGAGTGCCACGCATCAAGTCCGCAGCAGCGCAGTGACGCCGTTATTGAGCCATATATCGATGGTCCAGAAGTCGATGCCAACTTCGTACTGTTGAATGGAGAAGTCATCTTCTGCGAGGTTAGTGATGACTTCCCGAGCCCAGGCGATAGGGACTCTCAGCAAAGCCATAACTTTGTCGAGACTATGGTTCATATGCCCTCTGCCCTTCCACCGCATGAGTTGGAGGCTGTCCGGGATACATTGCACCAGAGTATTCTTCGTCAGGGGTTCTCAACCGGTACATTTCATTGCGAAGCACGGTTGCAATATTCGAGTCATGAATTTCGACAGGATGACAACGGGTTTGAAGACTTGTATCCCCGCAGAGATACTGATACAAATGATGGAATGAGCGTGCGCGTGTACCTCCTCGAAATCAACGCTCGCCCGGCAGGGTATCTAGAGACTGTTGGCGTCAACTTGGTCTATGGGGTGGATTATTTCGCCCAACAGATGCTCTTCGCAGTCAATGATGAGCTTCGATTCAAGGCCCTATGCCACCCCTTTCCTGATGGGCCTCGCTCCAACCTCTCGATACTCGTACTCCAAGAAGACGTTGCTGGGATCATGAAGACCGAAGATGCCACAGCGGAGCTCCTGCGCCAGTACCCAGAACTGGAGCCACATGTGCCGCTGTACGCGACAATCAAGAAGAAGGGAGATAGACTGGTTGGGCCAAAGTCGAGTGAGGTTCATTTCATAGCGTGGCTGTTGGTCACAGCTAAAAAGAGGCGCGAGTGTCTGCGGTTGGTGCAAAAAATACGAAGCAATTTCCGCTATGAAGTTGAATAGCATCTCCTAGCCAATAGTGACGGTTCCTATTACTTGGTCTAGCGAAAAATAAGTCATTTCTAATCCTCCAAGTCAAGCATAACGATACAAGCCCTAGCAATATCTGTCTAGTCTTGTTGTTCTCCATTTGTGCAAAGAGTTCGCGTAGTATGCTGCCAGGGTCCTTAGCGTGATGGGAAGAGTGAGAACGAATCACAAACATATGTGGAGTACCACCAGGACTGTCATTGCGGCTGCAGATTTAGTCTAACCCTCAATGCATGTCTCCGTCGTCTTACACGGTTGTCTCACCTCCTTCAAATTTCTTCTCCATCCAACTTATCTTTCTTGTATCTTCCATATTCTATCCCACTGTACGCTCAGGCCCGACCACTCCAATGTCTCAACAAAAGACATCTCCACTCAGGACTTACTTCGACGAGCTCGAAGAAACGAACGGTGACGATGAATGCAGGAAGTGGTTAGACAGACTCTTCGACGCACGAGCCGAACTAGCAACATTTGTCGCTACGCGCCGAGAAGGAGGGGGAACCGGAACATATGTTGAATTCCTCAAAGGCTCCTTCAACTTCAGCTTCCGCTACACCTTCAGCGATGGACGACCGGATACCATCATCCGATTCCCCAAGCCGGGACACACTGCTACAGCGTACAGAGATGAAAAGGTCATAAATGAGGTCCAAGTAATGGAATACCTCCGTCAACACACCGATATCCCCATCCCCCGTATTCACAGCTGGGGCTTAACCGCCGATAGTCCACACCATCTTGGTCCATTCATCATCATGGACTATGTCACCGGAACCCTCCTATCAACCATCTTGAAACAGCCGGATGAAGAAAACTTGTATTTGAACCCGAACATCGACAACACACTCCTAGACAAAATCTACTATCAAATCGCCCGCTACCTACTCCAACTTTCCCACCTCACATTCCCCAAAATCGGAGCTATCTCGAAAGACAACACATCCAACACATGGCACATCTCCAACCGCCCCCTAACCTACAACATGAACGAGCTAGTCACTGTCTCCGGCTACGCTGCTAATAAATGGCCAACCACGCCCTTTGACCGCGCCAGCGACTACCTCGCCTCCCTTGCAAACGAGCATCTGACCCATCTTTACACTCAGCGCAACATCGCCGATAATCCCGACATCGCTCAAGACCGATTCATAGCCCGCCATCGCTTCAAACAACTCATCTCAAAATACTACCCTACAGAAAACAACGAACCATTCATACTCTTCTGCGACGACATGCGACCTTCAAATATGCTCATAGATCCAGATACCCACCGCATCACCGCCGTTCTGGACTTCGAATTCACTAACGCCATGCCGGCTGGGTTCTCGTATGATCCGCCTTGGTGGCTGTTACTTTCTGGACCGGAAGTGTGGCTTGAGCGTTGTGCATTGGACGAGTTTCTCAAACTCTATGAGCCCAGAATGGAACAATTCTTGCGTGCTCTATCAAGGGTGGAGCACGAGATTGAGTACAACCAGCCCGGTCATCTGTCTCTTTCTGCCAGGATGCGCGGTTCATGGAGTACCGGTCGGTTCTGGTTCGATTATGCGGCAAGGAAGAGCTTTGATGTTGACACTGTTTATTGGGCCACTCTCCATACCGCTGGTACTGGTATTGAAGAGCTTGACGAGAAGGCACGTGCGGAGCTGGAGCCATTCAAGAGGATGAAGATGGAGCAGCTGAAGGCGTACAAGGAAGAGTGCTCTGCTCGGTTTTCTTCGGATATATAACGGATAATAGGTGTTGTTTTCTATTTCGGTAGTCGCTATTTTGCTTTCTC